GTGCACCCCTGGACCTCAACCGCAAGGATCCGATCGCAGTGTGCACCGCTGGACCTCAACCGCAGGGATCCGATCGCAGTGTGCACCGCTGGACCTCAACCAGATAGTTTGCCAGATAAAATCCACAAACACACAATCACAAACACACGACCGCAAACGCGCAACCACAAACACACAACCACAAACACAATCACAAACTCACAATCACAAACACAATCACAAACACACAACTACAAACACAACTACAAAGACACAATCACAAACACATAACCACAAACACAAAACGACAAACACACAACCACAACCACACAACCACAAACACACAATTACAAACACAATCACAAACACGCAACTACAAACACAATCACAACCACACAACTACAAACACAACTACAAAGACACAATCACAAACATACACACAACACACAACCACAGACACACACAAACACACAACCGCAAACACACAACCACAAACACTCAACCACAAACACACAACCACAAACACACAAACACACAACCACAAACACACAACCACAAACACATCCACAAACACAACCACAAACACACAACCACAACCACAAGTACAAACACACAATCACAAAGACACAACCACAACTACAAACACATAATCACAAAGACACAACCACATCCACAACTACAAACACATAATCACAACCACTACCACAAACACAACCACAAACACAAACACATCCACAAACACACAACCACAAACACAACTACAAACGCACAATCACAAAGACACAACCACAACCACAACTACAAACACACAATCGCAAAGACACAACCACAACGACAAACACACAATCACAACCACTACCACAACCATAAACACACAACCACAAACACACAACCACAACCACAACACAGCAGACAACCACAGCACACAACCCGAGGACCCACAAACAACATTGAGAACTACAATACTAACGACTATGGCAACATGCCCCTCACTATGGCATCAAGACAAATGATTGAAATGTCATGGTGAGGATCACTCGAAGTAAAGTAATTTTCCATACGAAACCTGCCGGTCATTCTCAGAACCAATAATGAGAGACGGAGCCCTTGTTGAAGCGCTGCAGGAGCCTTCCGAGGCGACCACCCCGCAGGCGACCACGCCACAAGTTCCGACACCTGCGCCAAGAGGTGTGTTGAGCAGCTTGATTGAAAGTTGGATAAAGTGCAAATGGGTCAGGTGTAGTGATGCAGGAAGGGTCACAAGGTTTGACGGAATGAAATTTCCAGGATATCAACAAATCAGATGTTAGGTGAGCGTTGGTTTGTGCATTCATGTATAATCATGTTTGGAGCGTGCAGCGTGTTGCCCCTGCACCCCACCGTTTTCAGTGTTCACCCGACTTTGCTATTGTGGCTGGTTCCCTCACTTGCCGATGCAACCCTCAGACTCATGTTGCTCATCTTTGCTCTAAGGAATTCCAGTTGGTTTGGAACTGGATAAGACCCCGACTCCTTCACGGAGCCCTGGTCAGGTGTGGATGGGAATTGTCCAACCAGCACTGCAGCGCGGAAAGGGGGGGATACTCAAAGACTCCCCAGAATCAAAGGCTAGTGAAAGCCCACAGCTTCAAAGAACCCCCCAAACATATCCAAACATTAAATAGTATATCCAGGCGTTGCTGCATGGTTCACTTGACCTACTTCTGATGAATGAATTCATCCGCCTAGCCATTTGCTTGTGCCGCGATTGCCACTGGCCAAGTCCAGGAGACTGCAAGTGTGTTTGTGTGTGTGTGCGTGTTCCAAGGTCAGTCACTCTTGCTTCCTCTGGCCATTTTACTGAGCATTGAGATCCATAATCCATCCAACCCCCAACATCACCTTCAAGTGGTATTAGGATATGCTTGGATCAAAACACGGGTGCTTGGAGCAGCTCAGAGTGAGGAGCGCCACTCCGTCCACATGGCTGATCTCGAGCCAGCTCTGAAGCGTGCAAGGCTGGGAGGAACAGTGGTTTGTGGTTAGTCTTTTTGCAACAGGGCTGCCAAGTCTTAAAATCATTTGTCAAACACAGGTGCACAGGGTGAGGTCAAGTTACCACATGCTACTGGCCCCTTGATTTCAAGACAATCGCCTCCCACAGTCTCCCAGGCTCGAGGGACTTGGCACACAGACAAGGAATGCATCAACATTTCCAGCTGCTGAGCTGAAGCTTTCCTTCGCGTGGACAGACACACGGAACCGCATATAGCCTCCAACCTAATAGCAACGGCCTCCAAACTAATAGCGATGGCTTCCACCCTAATACCGATGGCCTCCAAGCCATTTGTGATGGCCTCCAACCTCAACCTACAAGCAATGGGCGATGGCCGTCAACCTAAAAGCAATGGCCCCCCAACCTAATAGCAATGGCCTCCACCCGCACAGCGCTGGCCTGCAACCGTAACCTAATAGCAATGGCCTCCAACCTAATAGCAATGGCCTCCAACCTAGTAGCAATGCTCTCCAACCTAGTAGCAATGGCCTCCGGCCTAATATCAATGGCCTCCAACCTGCTAGCGATGGCCTCCAACCTAATAGCGATGGCCTCCAACCTATATAATAGCAATGGCCTCCGACCTGATAGCGTGGCCTCCAACCAAATAGCAATGGCCTCCAGCCTAATTGCGATGGTTTCCTACCCAATAGCCATGGCCTCCAACCAATAGCCATGGCCTCCAACCTAATAGTAATGGCCTCCAACGTATAAAAGCAATGGCTCCCAATAGCGACGGCCTCCAACCCAATAGCAATGGCCTCCGTCCGGCCTAATATCGATGGTCTCCAACCTGCTAGCGATGGCCTCCAACCTTATCGCGATGGCCTCCAAAATTGTGTTGGCCTCCAACCCAATAGCAATTGGCTCCAACCTAAAAGGGATGGCCTCCAATCTAATAGCAATGGCCTCCAACCCAATAGCGATGCCTCCAACCTGATAGCAATGGCTTCCAACCTAATAGCAATGAGCTCCAACGTAATAGGAACGGCCTCCAACGTAATAGCAATGCCCTTCAACCTAACAGCAATGACCTGCATACCTAATTGCGATGGCCTCCAACCTAATAGCAATGGCCTTCAACTTACTAGCGATGGCCACCAACCTGAAAGCGATGGCCTCCAACCTGATAGCGATGGCCTCCAACCCAATAGTGATTGTCTCTAACCAAAAGCCATGGCCTCCAACCTAATAGCGATGGCCTCCAACCGAATAGCACTGGCAATGACCTTTAACCTAATAGCGGTTGCCTCCAACCTAATAGTAATGGACTCCAACCTAAAAGCAATGGCCTCCAACCTGATAGCGATGGCCTCCAACCTAAAAGCAATGGCCTCCAACCTATATAATAGCCATGGCCTCCAACCTTATAGCGATGGCCTCCAACGTATTTGCCATGGCCTCCAACCTATAGGGATGGCCTCCAACCTTATAGCAATGGCCTCCAAAGTATTTGCCATGGTCTCCAACCTAATAGCGATGGCCTCCAACCTAAAAGCAATGGCCTCCAACGTGTTTTCCATGACCTCCAAGCTAATAGCAATGGCCTCCAACCTAATAGCCAATAGCGATGGCCTCCAACCTTATAGCAATGGCCTCCAACGTATTTGCCATGGTTTGCCATGGCCTCCAACCTAATAGCGATGGCCTCCAACCTAATCGATCATCGTCGAACCTAGGAGATCACTGGACTTTGGGCTGTGACGGCCTTATTGACAAAAGGCGAAGCCGCTCCTCTAGTGGCCTAATGATCAGAAAACGGGGTGCACAAAATGATTCAGCACTTGAGTACGATGCATTGGCAGACGCTTGCTCAGGTGAGCATTCCAGGAGATCGTTGTTATTTGTTCCGATGGCGACAAGCCACAGATGACAGGCAGGGAGCTGACAGCTTGAACAATTATGATTGATACTGTACCGGGCTGGCTAGGCATGAAATATGCAGCATACAGGTTGGTGGACACTGTTCGGTTTCCAAGAGCTGCTGCAGCTCAGGTGCTTTGAAGGAATTGAGCTGGGCGTGGGAGCCATCAAAGGTGGCCATATTGCGAGGGATGGGCGCGTGGAGTGGTGCACCCAATCTCAGCGATGGCAAGGCCAACTTGACCCCACAGGACCGGCTGTCACATGAGAGTTGGCGCACTCTTCTGATCTCTTCAGTACCTTTTGCTCAGGGTCCTTAGTGCTTGGGATGAATGCAATTCACGATCGTTCATAATGATAGCTGCACAATTAATGAAGCAACGAAAAACATCTTTGTGAGGATGGTGCATCAGAGATGGGCACTACTTCAGCATAGCCAGTGGGGAATGTTTGGGGGGAGTTTGCCGCAATGCGGCAAAGGGAAGCAGAAGCCGTGGCACCAATGGAATCCTGCACCAACAGGCCGAGCATGCTGGGAACTTGCTGAAAGCTCCCCAATCCAAGAATTACGTATATACAAACGCTCACCATTTTCACGCACCAGTGTGCCACCACAGCTTTGTAGTTGGGAGTGGTTGGGCAAGGATGAGCGGCTGTTTCAACGCTCTCCCCAGTGGCCTGATGTGTTAACATTGCAAATTTGCCACTGTATGCAATGTTTTGTCCAACCCCGCCAAACAGTGATGTTCATCGATTTCACAATATTGTGATTTCCACGACGTTGTCATGGGGTAGGGTGTGTGGGGGGATTCGGCGGGGCCAGGATAATGAGATTTGGTTGGACTTGCTTCCAAGATGATGCTATGGAGACACACACGCACACGTGCACGTTGACATCCTCCACAACATTCCCGAGTTTCAGCTATTTCGCATAGCATTGTCTTCATTTTCACAACATGGTCATCGCTACAACGCTCCCACCCCCTGGTGACAACATTGCGTCAATGACGATGTGTGCGAAGTCGATGAAATGCACATCATTTGCAGTGGCATGTTTGCTGTGTGAACACATCAGAAAACACGAGGAGAGCGTTGAACAAAAAAAAACGCTGGCCTTTAGCCCATCGCCGCGTTGTTGTGTTTTTCTTGGCCCCAAGTTAGGCATGCTTGGATGCTTGGGTTTGTTGAGGACAAAGCCACTTTGTCAGGTCCAACGCGGAGTTCCAAGATTGGGCAGATGGCCTTTTCTTTTCCTTGGACCGCGAGGGCAAGGAGCAGCTGTTAGACGCTGACGGACAGCAGGCAAGATGTGCAGCACCTCAAGCCATGGAATTTTGTTTCGAGCCGAACATCCTAAGCGCGAGGTGATGATGGAATGGGAGAAACCCTACGTGGAGAAGTGTGTGGATGAATTGCAGATTACCAGTGCACCTTGCCCATCAGTGATTTTGAGGTGTTTCTTGCAGCCAAAACAGTGGCCTTTGTCAACTCCACAGCTCAAAATTGACAAGCGATTTGAGTTTGGCGTGCCCGATTTGTGGCCTCAGAACTCTGAGGAATGTGATGTTCTGGAGATTGGTTTTGGATGCGGATACAGCGCCAGCCGCATTCAGCGCTTCCAGCCACGATCCCACACCATCATTGAGTGCCGCTTGTTTGGAGACGCAGTTTGTCCACAAGGACTTACTGTATAAACTAGGTGCCTCCTTTCAATTCAGTGAAAGTCTTTGAGGCAGCCCAAGGCCCCAGGTTTGTTTTGAAAAACCTGCATTCTCAATCGAAAGGCTCTGAAGTGGTGCTTGAACGTTTGAAGCAGTGGGCTGCCTCAAGGCCCAATGTCCGGGCACCCAGGTAGGTACTGTACTGGGATGCTTTGTGGCTTTGTGGGATTCGCCTCCCAAATCAACAAAGCATCTCACCTAGTGGACCCGGCTACCAGCCAGTTTAACCAGGACCAAAGATCCTGGATTCCTAGTCTGTTTTTTTGGGAAGATGTTCCTGAGTTTGACTGAAGTTGTTTTGGGGGTGCGTATGAAGAGCAGTGGCTCCCACAAATGATTGAAATGACAGCTCATCTCATGAGGTGCATATTGTCGCTGGCACTTGGCAACAGCGCTTACCCCACCTGGGCGTGTGAGGTCCCCAGCATGGGTTCAAATTGCATGCATATCGCATACAGCATACATACATTTACTGGGCCAATGAATGTTGGTGTTCGCTTTAGTTGGTGCGCTAGTAACAATTGCGCTCGCCACTTGGCATGAGGATTGATAGACCAGGGCTGACGAGCCTTGCATCGCCCTTGGAGGTTCATCCGCCCAATGTGCTTTAAGCCTGGCTGAGGTTTGACTGCATATTCTTTGATGATTATGGCCAACCGGGCATTTCAGACAGAGATGCTTGAGACAACTTGGGCACCAGCTGGGTGCGGTTTCGAACTGAGAAAGCAAGGGTACCAGGCACGGTCCTCATCATCTCAAAAAGAAGCGAAGCTTGGGCATTTCAGGGGGACCAACCACACCAACATATACTTACTACGTAGTATAGTGACCTACCAGTCCTGATTGCTTTTGTTTATCAGGATGAAGCGTCACTAAGGAGATGCTTCTGAATTGCCCCAATGAGCAGTATAAGGAGATCTATACTGAATCTCCTACACATTTTCACGCGTCGCTTGGGTTTGGGTTTGCTGAACCTGTTGACCGCAGGTGTCACCCTTCAAGATCATCGATCCGTTGCAGTTTGCAAGTATAGTACAGATCAGAGACTGGATCCCCCGAACGAGGTTCTTGGACATCGCCTTGCAGTACCATTCTCGTGACTAGTTCGCAAGAATTTGGTCGTGAAGCGTGCAAACTCTGAACTCTCTTGACATCTCTTGACACCCAGCCTGCAGCATGCTGCTGTGGTTCCAGAGGTCGTGGCAGCCGGATCTCTGGGTACTTGGCATCTCGGAATCATTGGCCTTGGATGTGGTGTTGAGACTTATCACTCATTTTCTATTTGGACGGTTGAATGGTGGGACATTTTATGTTGTCCGCCAAGAGCGCCTTGAAGAAAGTTTCGTCTGGAGGTAAGCCCCATTGTGGTGGACCGGGATGATGTGGAAATCACCTATGGGTCTTTTGACGTGCATCCACCTGAGCATTGCAACTACTACTTTCGCCAGGGCCCTGGGTTTTGGCACCGATCGCGGTTTTTGTGTCCGTCTCACCATCTCGTATCGCTGAGGCAATGAGGCGGTGGTTCCCGTTTTTTTCCAAGAATCCTGGGCGAGACAAAAGGGGTTTTGGGGTTCTCCTTTTTGCCGTTGTTACTAGTAGTTTCTTACTGCTATATAGTAGTAATGCCCTTGTTGCTAGTAGCGATGCCCTTGTTACTAGTAGGGAGGAATGTCTCAAGAAACATAATTTCGGCCTTGAGACGGTACCACAGTATGATGAATGTAAGATGTTGGCACCTTGTTCCACAGGTTTAAGAGTTGAGACGTGGGGCAAGATCACATCCGGGGTAACGGTAAGCATATACTAATAATTAGACTATATTTACACATAGCCCAAGCGTTAGATATACTATATTTACACATAGCCCAAGCGTTAGACGCTCATTCAACGTCCCCTACTGAGTCCAGAATTGATTTCTGGAAATAACTTCACCAAGGTTAACATTTGCTGGTGAGGGGGGGCACTTGAGAAGGTGAAAAATAAATTAACATCATGAAATGTTGATTCTGCAGTTTTGTGATATATAATCAGATACAATTAAATTGAAGTTTGATGAGATGTGCTTGAACATATTATTATAGACAACACATAATACAGCAGAATACAAGAAAGACATATAATGACTACATTTCATGTTCATGATGGTAGGTCAGTTGTCAACGTGTCCTTGATTTGTGGCTGCTTTGTGTGTTGCGCATTTCAAGCACGGATCAACAATAAGAAGAACATAAGTAATTCAAGGTACCTCAATTAATTATATAACCCATTCGACCCCCCCGTCAGGATTAATTGTCTTATAACTGTTTGCTTTAGTTTTGTAGATTTGGCAGATTTGCACCCGTTTCAAGGAGTCAAGTAATTTGCCTACCCCACCTCAAGATATACATCACTGTAATTAATTGAGAAGGCTCAGGGGGGGGTCCTAGCTAGGATAGGGGCTATCTATACACTACGAAATATGAAAATTATTCCCCCAGTGCCGGTTAGAAGCGTTCAAGATGTAAACGAACTGATCCCTTTCTATGTGAGTGGGAGCCTTTAAAAGTCCAGGACTGAGATACACAGCGAAGCAAGCACGCGGAGTCCCAGTCCTGAAGAATGTGCTGAGCAGTAAAGGCAGGAAAACAGGGTAGACTCGACTCGATGAATTGATTTGTTTTGTAATATGTGCTGGTTTGATTTGCGGCAGGCAAAGCTACTTCTTTAGGGCTACTGGCATGTCCGAGAGTCAGGTCCCATTCACCCCCATTTGTAGTCAAGTGGCTTCTGATTGGAGCTCGCGGCTAACTTCTAGCTCGGATCTTGCGCCTGCGAGGCCTTTGGATGATGCTTTGCCTTGTACAAATGTGTTCCTGTCTCGTCGCCCTGGAGGATGAGCACCAGGTGAAAGATTTCAACATTAGCATGTGGGAGGCGGCAGCAGCAAGTTAGCGCGTCCATCCGTCAATGGAACTGGAGATTCCCACCAGACCACAGATTAGCATTTTTATTGTATGGAGGGGGGGACATTATTATATATATATATATATTTGGTCACGCTATGTTGCTTGCAAGCTCTCACTGTTCACCCTGTTGTTCGAATGCCGCAGCTGGTTTTGCATGGGCAAGTGGCCCTTGATCAGATGTCATTTGACTGCAAAACTAGCGCAGGCATACCAGCCAAAAAAAAGCTGCCTTGGGGTGAAGCAGGTTTCGTTTGAATTCTAGATGCAAGCATTTGAAGGGCAGTGCTGCCCAAGTTTTAATAGCCGATGAGGCACATCCCACAACATTCAGTGGGATTAGCTTCTGGCTGGGTGCTACCTGTGATTTTGCCAGGACATACTGTGCAAAAACATCTTTAGAGAGAAACCGTGGAAGCTGCAGAGGAAGGAGGTATTTGAGAACCTTTTTCACAGGTGTGTTGGCACGGTCCAAGTCCCCTTCAGGCAGCTACTAATGGTGGGTGGGTCGGTAAAATGTTCCGGTTCAATGTCTGGTATAGGCCCTAGGCATCTTCCAATGGAACCTTGACCGTAAACCTTGAGGACGTAGATTTTCGACTGATAAGACATGTCAGGATCCTTGGATTCATAACAGTTTTTTTGATGTTGTGCTATTTGTATAGTTATTTTTGAGCCTTGTTGCTCTCAATCCATTTGGACGATACCTGGAGTCTGCTAGCTTCAGGCCAAGCGCAAGTTTCAACTGTACAGGCGCCCGGCCGTCAGCCTACACTCTCATCTCTTGCCTTGGCCACCAGTGCGAAGTGAAAAGTGAAGCTGTGGCAATCGGAAGGTAATTGAGCGCTCGCACGCGCGCGCGCACACAGACACACACGCACGCACATTTTTGTTTGTGTGTGTGTGTGTGTCACGGTGTGTGTTTGTGTGTTGCATAGAATCGCATGACCAACCCCTACAAACTACCTTTACTTGGCTGCATCATCCACATGAACGGGGGGTTGCACTTTAGCTTGGGGTTGTGGGTTTAGAGTTTAGCCAGCCTCGGAAAGTTGGGCTCTGGGGGTTCGGGGTTTAGGGCTTAGGGTTGACAAAGGCTTTTGCGCAGACACAATGTGCAGATATGTTGACTCCTGTGCATGTACAATGCACACGTTGTGCAAACTGAGAGGTTATTCCCCAAACAGCTTTGCTGTGAGGGGTTCTCAATTCTTGCATTGAAACGATGCTGGGCCAAGATGATACACCCTTTGTCTCCCCTTGTCTCCCACGGCGTGTCTGGATGCTGCTGCTGCTGCTGCTACTACTACTACTACTACTACTACTACTGCAACTACAACAACAACTACTACTACTGCTACTACTACTACTACTACTACTACTATACTACTATACGACGACTACGACGACTACGACTACTGCTACTCCTACTCCTACTGCTGCTACTCCTACTCCTACTCCTACTACTACTACTACTACTACTACTACTACGACTACCACGACGACTACCACTACGACTACGACGACGACGACGACGACTACTACTACCACTACCACTACCACTACCACTACGACTTCTACTACTACTTCTACTTCTACACTACCCCCCTTTCGCAACACTTGCATCAGAATTCCAACCGATCCATTCATCAAACCCTGGCATGCAACGCAAAACCATGTATACCCAGCGTCACTCACTATATGAGCCGACAAACCACCGGAGGCCCATTGCAGCTTTGATTCTCCGCAAAGCTAAAAACACGTATATACAGTCAAAATTCTCAAGTCAACATCAAAACAAAGCAAAATCATCTCAGCCCAGCATCCAGAAATGCCTTGGGAGACAAGGGGGGGATATGGGGAGACAAAGTTTCAAAGGGAGACAAAGCAGAATCATCTCAGGCCAGCATCCAGACATGCCATGGGAGACAAGGAGGGACAAAGCAAAGTGATCCCAGCCCAGCACCCAGACACGCCATGGGAGACAAGGGGAGACGAGACAAGGGGGGACGAAGGGAGACCAAGCAAAGTGATCGCAGCCCAGCATCCAGACACGCCATGGGAGACAA